GGACGGCGGCGGCAGTGACGAAGAAAACCCTAAAAAATAGAAAAAATTGTCGGAATGAGACACGACAGGGTGGGTAGCCGGAAAACGGAATGAGACACGTTTTCCGGGCACCGATGAACAGTGGGTCCACCGGGAGGTCAAGGATTAGGCTCTAGATACCATGTTGAGAGTGATGGTGAATGAAGAGAACATATTCCTTGTGTATTGCAAAGCAAAAGATGTGTTTAAATACAAAGTAGTGGGCCTAGGCCCATAAGATAAAAACTATAAGATAAAAGACTATAAGATAAAATTATATCTAACAGTGTTAATTATAGATCACGAGTATCTCAAGGGAAGGATCATTCTGGAAGCATTTATTGAATGAAAATTTTTTTTTCCAATGGCCATTGTTATTTCCTACTGCTACTACTTATAATTACTATAAGATTCCCCTTCTACTTGATTTGTTTGTTGACTATTTCTCTCTCTCTCAAACCTCCCAGCCTCTAGCAACATGAATACCCTCCAATTGATTGACTCTTCTTACCTTCTACAGCTGTTTTCCATGCATGCCCAAATCACCTAAGATGAGAATCTACTACTTTTTTCTACAATAAGTGCTACCCACACTTTCTCTCTGGTGCATTTATTTTTAATCCTATCTTGTCCAGTAAGTTTAATCTTTACTGTATTAATTTATTCTCAAGCTGGCTGTTAACCATCCAATACTCCATTCCATACAACATCACAGGTCTTGTAGTAGTATGGTAAAATTTTAACTTGAGCTTGAGTTGTGCCTTTTGCTAGAAATGATACTTGACTTGAGGCACTCCTCCTTTTCAACCACCCCACTTGAATCATATGTTATACCATCAAACTTCTAAAGAATGATTACAAAATGGCTTCTTTTCCAATTCAAACAAATAATATCTTGTACATACTTCTACTTTTAAAAATAACAAGAGGGTTCACATCCTCAATAGAGATTTCACAAAGACCAGAACTATATAAAATGTTAAAGAAGTCAATAATGAAAGTATGAAACTTAAACCATCAAAATAGCTTACAGTCACAAACCTGTGAGGCAAAAGCATTGAAGCTCAGTATTGGACCGGCAATATAAAGTGGTGCATATACCAAATAACAAAGGTATATGATATATCCAAACTTGTCACTGTGTAGATTTCTTTCCTGATAATATAATAAAAATTATGAGCTGGAAAACATGTCTCCACATGCCCGATACAAAGCATAACTACTTAAAAACAAAAATTACAATAAAAAGAAGCATAAAATATAACTCAACAACAATGATAAATTTCACCTTGTGCTTTACTATAGCTAGCAGCTATCCTAACCTGTAAAACTTGATAGCAAGATTTTCCAGATTTACAAACATGACAACGTTGATAATGCTTCTGCAATCATCAAAGAATAAGACATTGACAAAAATAGTTATTAATCATATCAATACCATCATACCTAAAATCATAAAGTTACACAATTAGTCAACAGTCAACAGCTAAATGACAAATTTTGCACTAGACATTGATGTTGCAAGCTAAAATGTTTCAAGCAATTCAATACCCAGCAAATGTCAAAATTAACCATTCAAGAAACATGGAACAGACACATAATAGGCTTTATCTAAAGGAAATTAATTCAACAAGATTGTTCCCAGACCATAGTCAAATTTGTAGAAACATACAAAAACTAAAACCTAAGAAAAAAAAATTAAAATGGTAATCAAACATAATTTACGTTCTACATGATGCTCAAATGATTTATGCCTTTGAAGTAACATCAACAAGTATTTAATAATAAAATTTTACTCCTAAGTATATCTTTATATATCTTTATATATCAAATATCAGCAAGCATCCTGGAGAGGTTGGCACAACAATACCCACAACATCAGCAACACGGCCTAGAGAGGCCGACACAACAATACTCACAATATCAGTAAGTGGCCTGGAGAGGCTA